ACGGACGGACGGACGGACGGACGGACGGACGGACGGACGGACGGACGGACGGACGGACGGATAGACGGATGGATAGATAGAGAAACAGAGAGAGAAGGGGGGCGACGGGGGAAGAAAGAGGTGTAAACGGAAAGGAGAGGGAAGAGGGAGAGAGAGAGCTAGCGAAGGAAACAAAAAAACAACGGATGAAAAAGACACGAGGGAAAAACGTGCGAGCGAAAGAACAAGGGAGAGAGGAAGAGAGAGAGCGAGAGAGAGCGAGAGAGACAGACAGGCGGAGATAGGAGGAGAGACCGACCATGCACGAGCACATGCATCGAACATGCAGGATCGCGAATTTCATCTCTGTGACAGATGTTTTACATCTTTAACTAATAATACTTCAGCATCGCGTATATTATGAAGTAAAATAAAATACACGCCCTTTGCTAATTATAATTACACACCTAGTATGTATTAGTAGATGGCAGCACCCTACATATTATTGTACAATAAAACTTGAGATCGCCTAGGCTTCTCCAGCTGGCCGTGACGTTAGATTGACTGATTATATTGACTCGGTTATAATTAAATATCCCACGTTATTAATTAATCCCGCGTGGAAGCGCCAAGGTTCCGTCATAGGGGAAACCTATGTGGAGCGCTATATAAGTGTGGTGGAGGTAGTCCGTGGTTAACATCTACTTATTAAGCTCTCATCGTTACTCTACCTACTGCATCATAGTCGTCATGGAGTAATAACTGCACAGCGAATCGAATCGCGCGAATCGTTCTTTCCTTATCTGTCGTCTGCCTACGTTCACGCGGATACTGATTTTCCCGCGCGAAAGTCGTAAACCTACTTCCGCTGCCGTATTTTCACTTTCGCCGTCGTCGTCGTCGTCGTCGTCGGCAGCTGCGGCAATCAAAGCCGCGCTCAATAACGGCCACTTATCGCCGCCGCTGCCGCTGCTCCTGACCTTTACCTTTGCACACATTCGGCCGCTGCTGCTGCGTGTGCCGCCGCTATAGTGTGATCGATGCGAGATTGCAGCTTGGTAGTACAGGGTTGTGCCGTACGCGGCCATGCACGGCGTGGACAGGCGTCGGCGCCTCGCCGTCGTGCGATTCCCAGTCGTCACACAATCTCCGAGGCAACGTGATGATGACGTCATTATGGCCACCCTAGCTCTAGAAAAAATACTATGACGCCGCGGATCGCGTGCCGAGCGGCTATAGCACATTCTGCCATAGATTACTCTAAGCAAATGGTCCAACTATGTGACCAAAAATTTATCCCCAAAACGTAAAACTGATCGGGCTTTTTAACACATTATCTATCAACATGGACATCTCACCTATCTTTATTGAACACTTCCACAAACTTTACACCAGGTATTATATGACTGTTGCATTCCTCAAAGTCAGCACTGAAGAGTTATTGCGTGCACACATAGCAGAGCAACCGCATTTGAAAACAGAAACACAGTAGTGCTAAGACTTTGAGAATAACAAGAATAAAATACCTGGGTGCTTAAAAGTGGTGGAAGTGTTCAAAAGATAGGTGGATGTCCATGTTGATAGATAAGTGTTAAAAAAGCCCGATCATTATACGTATTTGGGATAAATTTTTGGTCACATCAGTTGGCACCAGTTACTTCGATTACAGTCAGTATGGCCAGAATGTGCTATAGCCCTGCGGCAGCGAATTCGCGGGGCTATAGTTACTAGAAGTAGGCCAGCTCTTGCGCGCATGGCTCGCGCGCGTGCGTGCTGTGGTATCATGTATGGGGATGTCGTGTGTGCATATATTATTATAATAGCATTATAATATATATATATATATATATATAATATATATATATAAATATACGCCTATGTACGTGTGAGTGGGTGCGTGTGTGTGCGTAGAAGGCTGTGGATGCGCGTGTGTGGGTGCGAGCGTATAGCTGGGGACGCTCCTTGGTGTCAGGACTTGGAACGAGACGAAATTACACTTGCGTTGTTCGTAAAATCCTATGCGTATTCGTGTATGTACATACATACATAAACGTCCGTCTAAATGTCACTAAATCACCCCCGTGATTACTATAATTATTATCAGGAGTAGATAATAGGGAATTCCCTACATATCTTCCCTAGAATATTCCCTATTATCTACTCCTGATATTATGTAGGCTCGTTATATGCCGAGAGCTGGTCACCTCGTATTCCCGCCATGACGGTACGTTTGGCTGTGTAATGTTTGAATGATATATTTTGTTTTACATGTATACGACCATCTATGGAGCACTGCATATCGGCTAACGTATTATTCACTTAGCCATTGCCGCATGTATTTATGACAGTGAAGCTGGATATTAATTACTAGCCATCGGTGATTACGGTCTCATTATTCATCAGTTAAAATAACGTTAAGCGGGCCCTATATATTTTAGGCATCGTCCTGATTCCGAAAATAGGTTCAAGGCAGTCTATTCTAGGAGCGGCTGTACTAAATGAAAGTAAAGTAAATTATTAATTCAGGTGCAGCTTAATATATAGTTAATTGCCCTGAGGCTCTTGTGGTTCACACCGGATTTACCCTCGTCTGTTCGCTATACATTCGCCACGCGTTATCTTATGGACAATTTCGTCCTCGCTCTAGCTACGTTTGCGTTTTATTTCAATTATAACTTGACGTGTCTATACATATTGTAGCAGCCGGCCTCATAAACTAATAAAACGCGAGCTAATGGTACAACACTCCATGGCGTCCAGACATCACGGGACGTGTGTCAGTGCTGATCACGGCCACTAATCATGTAGCGTTTGGGGTTGGTTAGGGGATTAACACGCATACCTTGCATCAATCATCTACGTAACGTGCCCTATCTACCGTATACTCAGTACATACTCACCTATAGAAACAGTATGCCAGATAATCTATCGATACATTTCGTGTCTTGACCTATCTCTACCGGTGTAGCCCCTTCGCGCCCGCTACAGGCCCTGTAGCGGGAGCGAAGGGGGCCGCACCGGTAGCTAGTCTTGACTTATTCTCGTTCCCTCCGATACTTGTTCGAGCCCCCACCCCCAGCCCCCACAATATTACTACCGCGGGTATAATTTATTTCTAATAATTACAGTATTGACGCACATCGTATAATGATCTGTATCTTGCCGAGTTATCAAATGAAGAAACATTTCATATACACACTGCTCACCTATGTGGTCTTTTATTTTCCGGCAGTGCTGCCTGGTGCTGGACCCCGCACAGCGCGTCCCGTGCAAGGCGCTGCTTGACCACCAGTACTTCGAGGGTCTGTTTGAATCTCTCACGAACAGGGACAGGGACAGCAACCGGGACGTGACGCCGGCGAAGAGGGACAGCGGTGGTCGCGTGCAGCAGCGCACCGTCGGCCCCGTGTCGCTCGTACAGCAATCGCTTCTTCCCCAGCTCAACGGCGGAGGTGCGTGCTCTTGACTTGTCCTTCATCTTGTGATCTTTATTTCGTGCTCCGTTTCGTTCTTTGATTACAGGTTATAGTTCTCACGGGCCTACTTATGATGCGCTGTACACTCTTGATACAGTCAATAAACAGTGACGAGAGGATCATTTATCATTGCGAGTGTTGGTACCTCCTTCTTGATGCCGTGAGGGGTGGATGATAACAAATGCTCTTGTTAGACTTGGTTTGCTATTATCCACTCTTGATACTGCTGATGTTGACTGGCCTTTTTGGCTCGCTGGTGCGCAGCCGTTTATACGGTGGAGTCTTTATAGATTAAGAATTGAGATAATTTTTTACAGTGCCTCACATTAGGCGTATATGAGTGATATTTGAGCACGTGTTGTCATGTGGGAAATTAGACCTGTCATTGATATGACCGCTATTTCTTTGGGCAAAACCCTTGGTGCGCTTCGTGGGACGCTCGCTGCAAGTCCTCCGCTGTATAGTGGGCTATAGTGTGAAATATCAGAAAGCTCTTAGCGCATGAAGCTTTGTGTAATGGAGCCAAGTTCACTGTCCCCTCTTACAACCCCCAATCCTACTGTGTTGTACGGGCGTGTGCAATACACGTGAATGCGCGCACACACACGCACGCACGCACGTGTACGCGCATATCTCAGACGTTCTGTTGTTGCAGTAGGCTCGACAAGCTCTTCCCCCGAGCCACGGACCAACAACGCTGCGCGGAAACCCAAGTACGACGATCACCACTTGCCCAACATATGACTGGTCGGCCAAGGAGTGTTCAGTCATCGTCCTTTGCAGCAACAGCACCATCACCAGCAACAACAACAACCGCATGAGCAACAGCAGCACAATTCGTCCATCTACCCATCGGAGAATCAGTCGAAATTGTGGTATACGTGATACGAGTAGACCTAGTTCTAACGCGATCACAGACACCTAACTCAACGTATGTTCCCCGAGTGTGGATACTGACAGGGGCGCCACTAGATCGTCACTGTGGCGCCTTTCGAACTACGTGCAAATCATCTGTTTTTTACGGATGAACACATTCTTATTAGCTAGCTGTGCGTTTATTTAGGTGCTCCGTTCGTATAGCTAAGCAGACTCGTTATCATCTGCAGATATTTAGCCAAGATTCGATAACAAATATTTTCGTTCTCCGTTTATCTAGTTCTCAATCACCTCTGTCTTGTACGTGATGTATATTAGTCATTTGCTACTATATGAACCAAGGAGATGGTTTTCCTTTGCGACTTGTCCCTATAATGTAATTTATGTACTAAACATAAATACTGCGAGATTGCCTCTAAAACATCAGCTGCTCCTCACGTAAGCCCGGTAAAAATATGTAAGCTATTCCGTGCTCACCGCGTTGTGTGTATATTAGTTTCGTCATTATGATTTTCGTTTCGCTTAGTAAAGTCTACGAACAGATGGACAGGTATGGACCTGCTCACAGTTTATACTGAGTAGAGAGAGGTGCTGTGTTGTAAAGGAAGGTGGTTTAATGCGTTTGTGTCATTGACTGACAACGGTGCAACTCCGGAGGCCACATTTTATAGCTAATGTGTAATAGCACATGTATTGTGATAACAAGTTGTGTTTTGCACAGCTTCCTGTCTCTGTTTCAGGTTAAAGAGTGGGCCATTACGGCATGTTTATATATATACATATATATATATATGTGTGTGTGCGTGCGTGCGTGCGTGCGTGCGTGCGCGTGTGTGTGCGCGCGTGCGATCGTGTGAGCGTGCGTGTGTTTATAAATATGCGTATTTATATACTATATATTATATATGTGGATAGACGGGCGGACGGACAGGCAGGCAGACGGACGAATGGACGGATGGACGGACAGACAAATAGAAGAAACATAGATTGATACGATACATATAATTATATGTCTCGTGGCATTTATCGTCCATTTTGTAGGATCTTGTAGCTATAAAGGTTATGATCAGAGTTTGACTGTTCTGTATTACATTGAAAGCAAGCACATGTAGTTAGTTATATAACTTTGTTAATGATTTTAGCAAACCATATAGGCAATTCTGGTGCATATTGCTACAGTTTATATCACAACTCTGCTGTAAGAGGGTTCGTGTTTGCTCTGAATAGTTTTCTGTAGCTAAAATAACATTCAATAATTTGACAATAAAAGAAATATTTGCAGTAGGTACAAATGTACGTAGAACCATTATTGTATGCCCAATTTACATGTTTAGTGACATTATAGTCAGGACTGTACGCAAATTAAGCAAATGTACATGTCGTTTTAGGAATATTTTGGAGAGTACCATTAGTTGGCTGTTGTTAGTGGTCTCGAATTTTGCAGTTGCAATAGTTCGAAATGAATAACTAATGAGTTCAAAATCAAAGCAACATCAAAGTACCCAAGATTAGCGCTACATGCTTTCAGACATCTAGACTCAGATTCAGCATCGTTTTAATAAACCAATACATGATATGCATTTCACTGCCTATGTAATGTACGTTACGGGGGGTTCAATTGTAAGACATGTTGACTCTGCTTTTCATGTATCCATTCGGTATATGAGAACATATATACGTGTTTGAGGTAACAAGAGTTGATGCGAAATCGCGTAGAACTAGCTTTATATACCTTCTATTGCGCAGAAGACGATTTTTCTTTAATCACGTGATTTAGACAGGAATTCATGTAGAATGTAACTGTGAGTGGCTGCTCTTATTATAGAACAAAGAAAATATAGAGATCACTAGTTGTTTCTGTGCAGTAACGACCACGATTTCAACTTTAGGCGCACGCACGCACACACATTTAAAACACGTTAACCTTAGGAAAATCCTTGTGAACGTACAGTAGTAAATCTTTACTTTATAGCAGTGAATAATGTGTTTCGCATACTTTTAAATCACAATACTGCGATGTTATTGAAATGCCCAACTATTGACTGATGACAGCCGTCGTATTTACAAGAGCATGTGTGAGAGTGTGAATCTCTTAAAACTGTGATACATACTCTGAAGCCATTATGCGGTTCGATACGGCTGTTATGTCTGCATGAATGCACAAGCAACCCATATATGTCACATTCGAACAAGTGTGCAGAGAGGAGAGAGATAGGGAAGAGAGAAAATGAGAGGGTGTGGTATATATATCAAGAGCTAATAATACCTAGAGCTGTACAACGGAAAAACGGGAAAATAGTGCTATTTCACGACAACATTATTCTACTTTGCCCTGCAAGTCTAGAAGTAATTTTATGGTATTGCATTAAGCAGAATTCTTTGCTCTCTTAAACAAGACCAACGCGCTTGTCAATACGATACGCTAGGCTGAGATATTGGCTCCTAAACTCCCCTCCACATGCCTCACGGCCACCTCGCATCCCGGTTATTCATCCGCCACCTCCACGCCCCTATGCATTTTGGCTATCGGTTTCCGTCACCGCTTGAGCGCTGATAATTGATGTCACATGCCCAAATTTGGTACTCTTACTACACCATATAGTGACTGAGCTGCGTTGTAAAGACTTAATTTGAAAACATTGCCGCTCCATCATGACGGGCCTTAGCCGTGCCTAGGAAGATAATGGCGAGATAAGGGCATAGGCGATGCCTCCGAATGTCACCTATGATAACCGAAACGCCGTTGTCATTCATAAAGTTTATCGCGGAAGTATACTTTATAAAAAAGTATAAGTGGCAGCACTTTCGCTTTTCTGCCCCCCTCTCCCCCGACACCCGCGACCGTGCTGCCACCCCGAAAAAAAGTTGCGTATTTGACAATTTATTTTGCACGTTACAGACCGAGGGCTAATCACAAAAGTGGCAATTATATTTATACCTAAATATTATTTAACCGAACGCGATATTCATTTTAGTGTCAAATTTATCCATATTATAACTGAAACTATATCTCGTTTATAAAGATATTACAATCCTTTTTGCTTTTAAATGAATAAATAAGAAACACCCTCGGTCTGTAGCCCTTGGCTTGAAAGTGGTTTTTGCGCAACTTACCAGATCGTGCGCTTTGAGTGGCACCACGTCGTTGTAATCAAACTGTAGTCGTTAGTTTTAAACATAAAAAAAAATATTTCTAATGGTGATTGAACGCATGAAACTTTATGCTAGCGGCAATTTTAACCTAAATTTAACTGAAAATAGACCCCTAGACCTAGAGTAAACTATTCCCTTTAATACCCTCCAGTATGGTGGCCGAGATGGCTACGGATTATTTTTATTATTATTTTTTACTTCATTTTCATTCAAATTCATTTTTCATTTCAAAATTTTTTTCATTTCAAAATTCATTTTTATTCTATAATTCATTTTCATTTCAAATTCATTTCTTTCAAATTCATTTCGCTTCAAATTCATTTTTATTCGCAAATTCATTTTCATTATCAAATTCATTTTATATTCCAAATTCATTTTCATTTCAAATTGCATTTTCATCTCCAATTTTTTTATTTCAAATTCATTTTGCATTTCAAATTCATTTTTATTCAATATTCCATTTGCCGAGAACATATCGCGGTGGCGGCGATGGCTACGGATATTGGTGGGGGCGGCGAGTGACGTCACTTCCCCTTAGTGGGACTCACGTCCAATAGAGTATATATTTAGAAATTAGTATATTTATATAAACTCTATGGACAACTCAACTAAACGTTCAAAACAAGGAGAACAAAAACGTCATCTGTAATTGTTTTGTTTTTGGTTTATTATTCGTAGATAAGTAAGTTTTTTCTGATGTAGTAGTTTCATGAAAAACCACACACTTTTACTCATATATAAAAGTATAATATCACTATGTAATTTGCAATTCTTTGTGTAAATGTGTATTTTCATCTCCATATTAGAAGTATCGAGAGGGGCTGGGCTCTCGTAATACTACCATACGCTGACGAATGTACTGCGTGACTATGAAGGCCATTCGCTCTCTCACAGGATCGTGTGTGGTGTGCGATCGTGCTGGCCTAGCCTGCGTGTGCGTGCCCCGGTGTTGTGATGCGTGTGCGGTGCGCGCGCCGTGTGCCGCATGCGCTGTGTTTAAACAGGCGGTCGTGCTTGCTGTTTAGCAACACGAGGACGCCGATAACCACATCAGCAGGTACATACATTACACACACGTACATACATATACTTACAGCACACGCCACGCATGCACGCATGCACGCACGCACCGCACGCGTCACGCCACTCAACGCACCACGCATACGCCACACGAACACACGCGGGCCGCAACACGCACACACGGTAGGCACACGGGCGCGCAACCCCAAACCAAGCAAAGAGGCACACGCACGCACATCGCACACGCACACATAACGCGCGCGCGCACGCACACGCATATTGAGACATAGGCACACGGCGCGCACAAACGCAAAGGCACACCACCACACACGCTCCTGCGAACGGAGCGAAGGGCTATAGTAGAGCGTACGTACGTAGTAATAATTATATTGGTAATTACGAGAGCCGAGACCCTGTCATAATTTAAGATCGAAGATGAAATAACACATTTACACAAAGAATTGCAATTATAGTGATATTTATTTATATTAATGAGGTAAAATGTGATGTGTCTTCACGGAAAATACAATCAGGCAAAACTTTACTCGTCGTGCGTGTGCGTGGTGCGTATCATGCGTCGTGGTGTGCGTAGTGCGTGTGCCGTGCGCGTGCGTGTAACGTGCGTGTGGCGTGTGCGTGTGACGTGCGTGAGCGTCGTGCGTGTGCGTGGTGTGTGTGTGTGTGTGTTGTGCTGTGTGGAGATGATGTGTGTGTGTCTGTGTCTGTGTGCTGTGTGTGTGTGTGTTCTGTGTTGTGTATGTTTGCGTGTGCGTGTGTGTGCTGTGTTGTCTGTGTCTGTGCTCTGTGGTCTGTGGCTGTGTCTATGTCTGTGTCTGTGTCTGTGTCTGTGTCTGTGTCTGGTGTCTGACTGTTCGTGTCTGTGTCTGTGTTTATTGTCGTGCGAGCGAGCAGCGTGCAGCGTGTTTATGACATCCGTGTGTGTTGTTGTAGTTGTGTGTACTTGTGCTGTGTGGGCTGTGTGCTGTGTGGTGTGTGTGTTGTGTGTTGTGTGTGTTGTTATTTCAACGTGTGATGTGGTTATCGCGTCCTCGTGTTGCTAAACAGCCCACCCAAACGCCTGTTTAACACCGCATAGGCACACGGCGCGCGGCACCGCACCACACGCCCTACACACAC